ACAAACACTTTGTTTCCATTTTTTCAGCTTTTCATATTTTTTTCCTCTCCCTTATTACCTTTCCCCCACCCTTCCCACTTGCCCTACACCTTTAGCCCTTTACTTCCTATTTCTCATTATTAATTATCTCATTAGGATCCTGTGTACTATTATAGTTTTTCACACCAAAGAAACTGTTCAGTATTTTAGTTAAAGAAATCTCTGTATGAACATTAAAAATAGGGAATCCTAAAATATAACTAAAAAGGAAAGCAAAAGAGAAAAGGTAATGATGTAACATTAAAATAATCCTTAATTCTGGAGATGAAAATGGTCCCCGAACATATTTAAATTGTTTCTTGCTCTTATAGTCTTATCTTATTCTTTTTTTCATTATTTAGAGAATACTTTATTAGTTTCTGTAATCAAACCCATGTAGATATGACCTTACATGTTTAGTACGATGTGTTACCCCTGAACACATGGAAAAAAATAAAAATAAAAATAAATTAACATTTCTAGACCAATATGGCTGGCCTGTGGGTTTTTGATGTACCTCCCCCTATCCTGAGGCCCCTCTGTTTTTATACCTTAGGCTGTGGCAACTGTCCAAGCCAAGGCATTTCCCTCATCTCTATGGCAGATGGGGAAAGCAAACAGACTACTGAGCTCTGTGCTACATGCAGGAGTCAGGGCAGGACAAGGGTGGAGGGGTGGTTCACGCAGTGTGCTGAATTTAACAAAAGCACTCTCAGACCCAGCCCCTTCCAAACAGCCATATGCTGCTGGCTTGGTTTCTCACCACAGAGGACAGGCTCCTTGTGTCTTTCCTGGCCTGTTGTTAAGTATCTCAGGGTGTCTCGATATAGCCTATTCTCTATCTGTAACTCTCATGGAGGTAGGGTGACCCCAGAAACTCTGAAGTGTAGCTGTTCTGTACCTTCTGATTCAGTCTTAAATGATCAACCCCTTCTCCAAATGGCTCTTGGTTAATCACTCTGGAATATGGCAGGCACTGCAATGAAGTGCTTCCCCGATTCTAGGCTGCTATATGGAAGGGTTTACTTTCTGAGAGAAAGTCCAGGCTGCTTTTGCAGTTTATAGTAAGAAGGGATTTTTCATGGGTTTCCAGTCCAGTACATTGTTTTCCCTGGGTCTGCCAAACCTCTCCAGGCTTCCCTTGTATTTACAGAGACAGATTTCCACTCCTAGAAGCCAAGGTTAGTGTTCCAATGTGCATCTTTCTTTTCCCTGCTTGGTCTTCCAGTTTTTTAGTTTCTCCGTGACTTCTAGTTTTCTTGTTGGCTTTTCTTTTTTATTTCTCTTCACTAATTGTTGTTTTCCGGGTGTCTTATGTCCAGCTCCTGGAGTCTGTCATGTGCTGCTGGATTCTACATTGCCATCTTTATTCTCCTTTTATACCTAATTTCTTCACAGTCTTTATGGAAGGAATGGATTTTATCCGATTCCCCAGATTTCAAAATTTTTCTGCTCTAATTTCAGTGAATGGGTTTTCTGTGAATTAACCTGCATTTCTTCACCCTCTTCAAGCCCAGTGATTCTTAAATTTGGTTTTTTATAGCTGTTCAAGAACTCTTCCATATTCTATTAATTCTTACTCTTTTTTTCTTTATTACTATTTCATTATATCATCTTGTTTTCAAGCCTTGATATTCTTTCTTCTGTTACATCAAGACTACTGTTGAGCTGGGTGTCGTAGCGCACACCTGTAATCCCAGCACTCAGGAGGCTGAGGCAGGAGGATCACTGTGAGTTTGAGACCAGCCTGGGCTACATAGTGAGTTCCAAGTCAGGCTCAACTACATAGTGAGACCCTTTCTCAAAAAACAAAAACAACAACAACAACAACAAAAAAACCTACTGTTGAGAAGAAATTCAATTGAATTCTTCTTTGACGGATTGAGGTTTTCCTTTCCAGGATTGCTGTTTGGTTCTTTTTCAGAACTTCCATTCCTCTACTAAAATGGCCTTTTGTATCCTGGATTCTTCAATTCATTCAGCTGCTTATTCATATTTCTTTGAGCTCACTGATCATTTGAATAATTGATTCATTCATGCTCCTCAGTATCTTCCTTGATCTCATTTACATTTTAATTATCCCCTTTTAAATTCTTTTCTAGAATTTCATGTTTCAACATTGATGGTATCAGTTACAGTTCTGGGAGGCATCCTATTGCCTTTTTCTCCTCCTGATTTTGTGCTGAGGTTTGTCGATCAGTAGGGATGCTTCTATTGCTGTTGTGCACAGGTCCTTTAAGGAAGTGGCTTTCTCTCTGTGTTGTGCCCCAGTCTTTTGGTCTCAGCATCGAAGCACCCAGTCAACCTTCTCAAAGTGCTAGGGTCAGTCCCTAGCACTGCTCTTCAATGGGAGAATGACTCCTAGTAATACCAACATGTAAATAATCAACAATATGTCAACATCTAAAACTTGTTTTAAAAGTTTCTACTATTTCTTTTTTATTATTTAGATGTTTTAGTTTATTGGCACAATTTAGGTATGCAATACAGTTACGTTAGTCATTGGGATCTTGTGCCTTTACATAAAGTATCTTGGTTGTTATTTTTCCCCATTCCCCCTGCCCTCTCTTCACCCCCACCACCCTACCTATTTACAAAGATTTTGTTTCCATGTTTTTCCTTTTCTCATATTTCCCCTACTCCTCCCACTTCCCCTACTTCTTTAGACCCTTTCTTCCTATTATGCAACATCAATTATATATTTTGATCCTTATTTTAGATTTTCACACCAGAGAAACTATTCAGTGTTTACACATGTGTGTGCTCTTAGTTTCACTTAAGAGTATGGCCTCAATATGCATCCGCTTACCTGTAAATGTCTCAAGTTTATCATTCTTTATGGCTGAGTAGTACTCCATTTTAGGGAAAAAAAAACCCACATCTTTGTTATCCACTCCCAGTCTCCCACAAAAAAGGAGAGTAGCAGTGTATTATAGGCTAGGGGGGAGAAGAGATTAACGATAATATTTACATAGAAGAAAAAGGGGGAGGGAGAAGAGCTTTGAGAGCGTATGAAAGGAGAAGCAAAGAAAGAACATAACTAGGAAGTGAGAGAAGAGATATGGACATGGAATCTACTTAATTAACAAAATGAAAGTTAGCAAAGCCTGTGAAACAACCCTCCACGCAGGAAAGCATAACCCTGCTCTGGGAGGCATGGCTCGCCACCGTCTGCTCTGCTGTTCACTCTGAATGTCTCTGAGCAGGGAACAGGTGCTGGATACACAGGGTCTGTATATACTAAGTAAGGTAAGAAGATGCCAGCACTCGCTCTTACACTGGTTCCTGCAGCAGTGCTCCCAGACTCACACTCCTTTCCTATAAAACCTCATGCATCTCAGCTCTTTTCCTGTCACAGTATTCCAACTGTCATCCTGCTTTGTTTGGTTGTGTTTCTTCCCCTTCCTCTTACTGCCAGCCGGGTTTCATGCCATCTGCCTACTGTTGTGAGACTTTCCCAGTCAGAAGTCCAGTCTTCTGTGACTCATCCGCTAGGGTCTTTCCCTGTATCATAGGATTTTGGCTTTACTGTCGCAGTACCTCTCTCGTTGGTCTGAGATGACTATGAGGGAGGGTGCCTGCAGCCTCCCTGGAAGGAAGTGGCTGCTCTGTTTTAGAAATACAGCAAGTGTGGGGCTTCAGTTTTCCCACACTCTACCAAGGCAACTTCAACTTTCTGCCCCACCCAAAGGGTTGGTTCCTCTCCTCCCTTAAGCTGTCATTTGTCCAGTGCCATTGCACATGGTTTCTGTTATCTCACTTGTGTTCCTAAATGTCAGAATCTGTGGCTTTTGCTTGGTTGCTCGCTCGCTGAAGTTGCAATCCAGGGATTCCCTATGTTCCCCAACTATCTCCTCATGCGGCCACATCCTTGTGGGCTTAGATGTGTATCCTGGAGTGGCCTGTGAGCACGTCCGTGGTGGATGCTTCTAGTTCTCGTTCACTTCTTTAAAATATGTAGTATGAAATGTTTCAACTCTATACAAAGGTGTGTGTGTGGATGCAGTGTACTTTCCCCCTAGCTTAACGGAGAAAATGGCACATTCAGTAGAAAGCTCGATACAGCTCTCTCACACATCTTCCAGCTTCCCCAGCTATCTGACATTTATCACTCATCCTCAGACATTGCTTATATTGAAAACCACATGACCACATGATGGCTTTAATGTGAACACATGCACAGTGGCTGCAGACACTCCCCATTTTGGAATTTATCGATAGTGTGCACTCTGACCTTATCACAGTAGAATTCATATTTACTTTATTTCCTTTTAGATACCATTGTTTTTATTTTCTTTTTGGTTTCTTTTTATTGATACATACTTGGGGTACATAATAATTACACTCATCTTGGGAAATTATTACTTATACAAATGGCATCTTAATCATTTCCATTGTCCTTTCCCGTCCCTGCTCCCCCATCTCCCCCATACCCAGACCCTCATCTCCAAAGTCTTCCTCCCTCTTTCCTATAGAAAGGTCATCCCTAAAAACTTTGAAGTATGATTTTTGAAAAGAAATTTTTTATAGTCCTTATATTAATGTCTATGTCAGTAATATGTAGTATTATTTTTCATATAAACTTCATATAACATATGTTATATGTTGTAACATTTTATATGGTCATCTGAAACCTTTTTTTTAATCTTATCTTTTTACTTTTTTGTTTGTTTTGTTTTTGCAAGTTCCAGTACTCTTTTCTTTTTTTTTTTTTTGGTACTGGGGATCAAACTCAGGACCTTGCACTTACGGGGCAGGCGGTGGAACTAAATCCCCAGCCCTCTTTTTAGTTTTTAACACTTCATTTGGGATATTTCTTCCAGTGTCACTTGGATGAATTGTTCTTAATGCCAATGTGCAGTACTGTGGAATAGTGCTTGGCCCCTAAAATACAATTTAAAATGGCTTAGATTGAAAATGTTATGTGAGAAATGAATGTATAAAGTATAATGTGTATAAATGAAACATTTGTTTCATTTCAGGTTTAATATAACGTATCGTCTCATGAATATTCCCTGCCTCTTCTCCCCAAATCATCAACAGTAGATAAAGAAGACAAAAGTATGTCAGGACACAAATGGTAAGCAATTCCTTTGCCTGTTATAAATTGGAATAGTCATAAGTGGAAGTCACATCATTTATGTTCAACAAATGTCTATTTAATGGAAAAATTAGGAGACATTTTAGTGTAAATAACTTCTTTAGTGGTAAGTATACTCAGATTCATTATCCCCAATAAGTGTTGAAGAATGAAAACTAAGAAAAAGAACTATTTTTTTTACAGGTATTTATTTTATTACTCCTAAATGAAGACTTATTTTTGGAGAACAGCAAGGCATTTTATAAATTCTTGTCTAATGTGTAGTTTCTAAAAATTCATTAACATAAAACCTTTCTCGTGAGAGTCCAAAGATGATTTTTTTT